ACCACCTCCCCCCCCCCTCATAACAACAACAACAACCATGAGTTTGATATGTGATTACTGCAGGGAGACGTCGGATATGGAGGATACAGGCCTGACTAATGCAACGTTTAGGAAGTTACTAACTGCCGTAAAGCATGATGGCTGTTGCTGGTATTGCTCTGGCTGCATAGTCAAGGTGAATGAAGCGATTGCAAGCCATAAGGGAACGAGTTCTCTAGGGACGAAAATAGATGAAGCAGGAGCCCTGCTGGTTGACAAACTGGAGCAAGTTGGGAAAGAGATCCTTGCTAAGACTGAGGGGACTTTGAAGAAGTGTGTCGAAGAAATGAAAATTAACGGACCTACTGTTAGGGGAGAGGAGGAACACCAGGAACGGCTCCAGCGCAGGAACAATGTAATAGTTTTTGGAGTCACCGAGAGCCAGGCGGAGGGAACTGTGAGTAAGGAAACACACTATAAGGTGCTGTTTCAAAATATTTGCACAGAGGTTCTGAAGATTCCAGCAACCCCTCAGGATGTGAGGAGGCTGGGACAAAGCAGGGGGCTAAGCCTCACCCCCTCAGGATCACACTAGTGAATGAGGAGGAGAAATGGCAAGTTATTCGGCAGGCAAAAAACTTAGCAAGGAGCGAGGCATTTCGGGATGTATTCATTCACCCAGACCGCACGGTAATGCAGAGGGAACAGCACAAGAAGCTCCTGCAGGACTTGATGCAGAAGAGGGAGGAGTCGAGGAACGGGGACAGGTGTACATGGGTTATACTCGGGGGGAGGGTAGTGGAAACAAGTGTGCCGACACAGGGCCAGGGGGCAGCAGTGCACCCTCCACCCACTCAACCCCCCACCCGGGAGGCGGCACCAGCTCAGCCTACCGGACAGGAGGGAACGAGCGCCGTGTAAACAATGACATTTCTAACCACACCCTGCAAAATACAGTGTACTTAGCAAATGCTGCAGCTTCTGAGAATGTGGGTGGAGCGGGTTTATTACTAAGAGCAGAGACGTTACCGAGAACAAATTCTGGCTTGAATGTCATGTACACTAATACTGACACGTTCCTTGATAAGAGAGAGGAGTTTGAAACACTACTAAGAGTACACCAACCAGATATTGTAGGAGTTGTAGAACTGTTGTACAAGAACAGGAGAATCGACCCAGAGGAATGTGAGTTCAATATTGCTGGATATGACTCATTTACGAACCTAACTCAAGAATCCTGCAGGAGGGGTGTGGTTATCTACGCTAGGCAAGACCTTAGAGCCAGCCAGGCGAGGGTACAGGGAGAGGATGTTTTTGAAGAGTCCAAGTGGTGTAAAATTAAATTAAAGGGAGGGGACTTACTTATCGTCGGGTGTATCTACAGATCCCCAAACTGTGGCCCCCTAAATCAAAGGAACTTAAGAACCTTAATAAACAATGCGGCGATGCTCAACCCTAGCCACCTCCTTATCATGGGGGACTTTAATTATGGCGACATCGACTGGAGAAACGAGTCCACCCCGAATGACTTGAATAACCCTGCTACTCTTTTTGTAGAAACTGAGAGATAATTTTCTGTTCCAACATGTGAGAGACCTGACACATTACAGAGGGGAGCAAACACCCAAGCCACTTGACCTCATCATAACAAACGAGGAGGGTATGGTGGCCAAACTGGAACACCTTGCCCCAGTTGGCACCAGTCACCATACAGTGTTGTCATTCAGATTTAACTGTTACCTAGTTCAAGATAAGGCCAGGCCAAGGTGCAAATATTACAAGGGAAATTACAATGGGATGAGGGAAAAGATGAGGGGTATCAACTGGCCTGACTTATTAAGGTACAAGAATGTAGACACTACGCTGAATATCATAACTAGTAAAATGACCCATTTGATCGATAAATATATACCCAAGACCAAACCTAGTGCTTCTAAGAATACGAGGGGATCACTACACATGAACCATGCGGCGGTCGACAAAATTTATGAAGAAAACCCAGAAATTCAAGACGTGGGTTGGGTCAAACGATATGAGCAAGACAGGAGGATGTATGCAAGAGCCAGAAACCAAGCAAAGATAGAGTGTAGGAGGGCTGAAAAGGAGTTCCAGAGGTTGGTTGCACGCGAGGTCAAGTCAAACCCAAAGGCGTTTTACCGTTATGCAAAGTCGAAATTGAAAACACGAGTAGGAGTATCAGACCTGAGGCTTGAAGATGGTAGTTACGCAGATTCTGACCAGGATAAAGCTGAGGCATTGAACAGCTTCTTTTCCTCAGTGTTCACAAGAGAGGATGCAACTAACCTTCCTGCGTTTGAGGACAGACGGTTCGACACAGCACTGACCCACATTGTGTTCACAGAAGAGGGTATTAGAAATAAACTGTCCAGGCTAAAGGTCCATAAGAGTCCCGGACCTGACATGGTGCTTCCTAGAGTGCTAAGAGAGCTGTGCAACGAGCTTGCAGAGCCCCTGAAGATCCTGTTTTGTAAATGCCTGGATGAACAAATGGTCCTCAGTGAATGGAAAGTGGCTTATGCGAGTCCTATCCTCAAGAAGGGCGATAGTCACTCCACGAACAACTATAGACCGGTGAGCCTGACCAGCATAATATGTAAAGTACTTGAGAGTATTATCAGAGATGCCGCGATGGAACATCTACTACGAAACAACCTTGTAAAAGATTGCCAACACGGTTTTATGCCGGGGCGCTCTTGCTTAACACAATTGCTCAAGGTATTGGATATTTGGACCCATATTCTAGAACGGGGTGGTAATATCGACAATATTTACCTAGATTTTGCCAAGGCTTTCAACAGTGTACCCCACGAAAGGCTGAAAATCAAACTGGAAGGGTACGGAATTCGGGGAAATGTCCTAGCGTGGATAGAAGACTTTCTACATGACCGCAAGCAGTGTGTGGTGATTAATGGCACGAAATCGTCATCTGTACCTGTAACAAGTGGGGTACCACAGGGCAGTGTATTGGGCCCGCTATTGTTTGTTTGTTTCATAAATGACATGCCTGACGTTGTACACTCCTCCATACAAATGTTTGCCGATGATGGCAAGTTATTTCGGGAAATTAAGAACCAAGCGGACTGTGAAGAGCTGCAGAAGGACCTCTGTGGGCTCCAGGAATGGTTGCTGAGATTCAATGTCACAAAGTGTAAGAGGATGCACCTGGGGCGTACCAACGGTAAGGAGGCGTATCATATGTCCCAACGGGATGAAGAAAATGCACTAGTTGAGACTGTGTGTGAGAAGGACCTAGGTGTGTATGTTGACAATGAGCTGAAGTTCTCGGGCCATTGTGAGAAGAAGGTAAATCAGGCAAATAAATTATTGGGTCTTATAAGAAGGTCGTTCAGATATCTAGACGGTCCGTCCCTCGTGACGATCTTCAGGAGTGAAGTGCTTCCCCATCTGGAGTACTGTCACCCCATCTGGTCCCCGAGATATGCTAGGGACTGTCAGTTGGTTGAAAATGTTCAAAGGAGGGCCACCAGACTGGTGCCTGCACTTCGCACCTCAGCTACCCTGAGAGATTGAGCGCCTGAACTTGCCTAGCTTATACTACAGACGGGCAAGGGGGACCTAGTTGAGGTGTATAAGCATCTCAGGGGCACTACTCAGTTGAGTGTCCTTACTTGGAGCTGGCGGACGCTCGCCCCACAAGGGGTCACAGCTCAAGATTGAAGAAGCCGCAAGTCCAGAAAACCTTGAGGGCAAACTTTTTCGGAGTGAGGGTTGTAAACTCTTGGAACAATCTACCAGAGAGTGTTGTGACGGCACCGAGTGTGAGCTCTTTCAAGAGAAGACTTGACCAACACTGGAGCGGGTTCAGGTACATTCAGGAGCCGGTGCATGCCCAGTATTTGCCAACAGTGCGTGACAGACGTGACCGATCGCCCGGGCGGCTAGCGAGCTGATCTTTTGGTGAAGAATATAAATGAAAAGAGACGTGACCGATCGCCCAAGCGGCTAACAAGCCGATCAGTGGCGAAGAGGATAATAAAAAAAAAATGCTCCTCAAAAAAACTTTCGGTTTTCAGAGCTTTTCGGTTTTTGGAATTTCGGATAAAGGGTTGTCAACCTGTACAGGTAATAATAATAAGCTATAAATAAAGCAAAATGAAAAAGAAAATCAAGAGTGAGAAATGATATATGTATGTTGTGCTGTTAAAGTAAGAAAAAAAATTGAGCCTGCAATTATGTGTAAATGAGGTAGAATGTCAGATGAGCAACCTGGGACTTGGTCCAAATTTTTTTGATGCCATATGGTAGCTGGGTCTACCATTAGACAACACATAATGATTCCATTATCTTCTCAGGCGGTAGTACCTCTGTGTTTGGTAGCTGCCTACTACCTGCTCGATTCCCATTATAGTTTTTAAGAAAGCCAGCTGTGCCCTGGTAAATCATACAGTTAGTCCTTGATATATGCAAGTTCAGCATATGTGAATTCACTCGTGCAAAGACCCTATTCTTACCAGGAATTCAATTAATACAAGCAAAATTCATCTTTTTGCGATATGTTGCACTCTGATATGGATTCCAACCCTGATGACTGTATATGTCACTCCAACACCATAACTTACTATGGTAAACCTTGACCACCACCTCCATCATCTCGTCTACCCAAGTTGATGTACAGTATCAGCTTTCAATGTTAAGTATACTGTACTGTCCCCTTTCTTTATTATTTAAAAAATAATATTGTATTGATTTGTTTTGTTTTACTTTAAAATGAGTTTGGAACATTTTCATTTTGAGTTTTGGAACACATCCTATTTTTTCCCATTTAACTAATTACAGTGCAGGGATTCGATATACAGTATGTGATTTCAGTTTATGCGAGGGTTTTCAGGGATGTATCCCTCGCATATACTGAGGATTTACTGTATCAAAATTTTATTTGGGTGTAGTATCTCATCTGTGTATGCTTGTGACATGTTATCTTTGATTTCATAGTCCTTTATGTTCTTACCAAAATGCCTTTCATGTATCAATTTTTACAGGTTGCTTTCACAACGCGCATCTACCACCCAAATATTAACAGCAATGGTTCCATATGTTTGGATATTCTCAGGAGCCAATGGAGTCCAGCCTTAACTATTTCTAAAGGTATGTGAATGTTGGGTTTTGCAGCAAATATTACATTCTTTATTATTAGCAAAATAATTTTTGGAAATTTACTATTTTTTATTTATGTCCTGTGTATTTGTTACTTTACCTTACAAGAAGAATTTATTAAGTGTTAACTTAAGTAGAAGTGCACATAGAAAGGAAGATTATTTGTGCAGTAGACACTTGCCATTCATGGTTTTACAACTATTCATGGTTCATTCCCTTAAATAAAAATATTGGTTGGAGGTACAAAAAAGTAGTTCTATATTACATAAACAGCTCCTTTCCTTCTCCTATCATCTTCTGGGTAACACCATTAAACAAATAACATAAGAAACAGGCAGATGTTGGGGCTTGCTGGCTGGTCAGCTGTTCGCATATGTAAAGAAACTTAATACCTCGTCGGGGATTGAGTGTTGGATTTTTTGCAGGAAAATATTATTTTATGAGAATGAACCTAAACAATCGTCCTCAAACTAGCAGTGTGTTTAATTACCCCAGTAAACTTATTCATTGTTCATTATACAAATGTCATTGGCCATTTTTTCCCTTCAGAGCATTAAAGTAGCTTAGAGTTCTTAAGGAATAGCCCGAAGCAAATTACCTATGTTATGTTTTTAAGATAATTAGTAAATGGCAAAATAAAAAACAAAACAAAAACATTTTGACTTTGTGTTTTTTAGGTGGGTGTTTTAATTGCCAGCCCTGGTAACAGTGAAACTCTACTTTCATATGTATTTGCTGAGAACCAGGGAACATAGTGACTTTTAGCAATGACACCACGGCCTGCGAGCAGATATTACCCAAGGTAGGACTTTGGAAGACCTGGATGCATTCAGTATACAATAACGAAAAAACAATTGGCTGAAATGTTCAGAAACATAACTCCACTTTTAGTACTGTACACATGAAAGTGTAACTCACAACTCATTACTGTGTATATCGACTAGTACGAAGCTTAACTTGAAAGAGCAGAAAAGTAGTAGAGAATGGTGAATAAAATATAGCTCCTCCCTGACTTGGGTTAGGGACCCAAATCCAGGTCGTAAGTCGGAAATTAAAAAAAAAATCTAAAATTAAATACAGTACAGTAAAAGTAATCAATAATGAAGAGTGGATACAGTGTGACTGAGCACTTACCTTTAATGTAGTCGGCTGAATGCACACGGGGCCCCCGTAATTTTCGATTTACAGGATACATGGAGATTATATTAATAGGATGAAGCAGAGGAGGAGACAGGGCTGGGTGGGTCATCAATGTTGCTTTCTTCAGACAGGTTTATAAACAGGGGAAACTTGCTGGTTGAAGGTATTGGATCATCTTTAGGGAGTGAAGAGGCAGCACTGGTGTGGGCGTGAGGAGACAGCAATGGGGAACTTCTTAAAATAGATGTCCAATTTAGACTGCACAGTTTGCTTTTTCTTTTCATTATAAATTTCCCTGTAGCAAGCAAGTGCATCTTGGACCATACTGTCAACTTTGGCAAAATGCTCATAATTTTGATCTATTCCATCAAACATTTGTATCCCCTTATTAATTGTAGCAAATGCTTCTGTCATTTGCTTCACTGAAAATTTTTTGGGGGTGCAGGTCCTTCTACATTTTGAATCGCTTCTTCCTCTGAAATTTGTGTGCTTCCAGTTCGATGAGATCCTCGTTACTTAGCTCTTCTGCTACACTTTTAACCAACTGTTCAACATCTTCATTATCAATTTCTAACTGAAGCTGTTTACCCAACTCCACTATCTTGTTACTAATCTCAGAAATAATTTCATTTTCATTAAATCCTCTGAAACTTCACATATCTTTTAAGTATTTTCTTCCATATTCCATTCATGCACTGCTGTGTAACCTCATCCCTTGCTGCAATAATGTTCTTTATAATGTCAAAATGTTGTACTACTTCCAAAACTGTCTTGAGCGTTTTCTCACCTTTAGTAGCAGCAACAGCCTGAGCGAAGGTCGTACGTAAATAATTTGCTTTAAAAGCTGCAATAGCACCTTGATCCATGGGTTGGATGACAGAGGTAGTGTTAGGTGGAATGTAGGCTACCAGGTGTGGTGGGTGTTCCAGAGCATTATCCAAAATCAGGAAAAATCTTGAATGCAATCCCTTGTTGCAGACAATACTCCTTGGCTCGAGAAATGAAACAACTCATGAACCAATCCTCAAACAGTACTAGGGTCATCCAGGCTTTCTTACTGCGATAAAACGCTGGCAGTGTGTGCTTGCTGACATTTTTAAAAGCCCTGGGGTTCTCTGAATGATAGATCATGAAGGGCTTGATCTTGAAACCAGCAACATTCCCCCCCAACAGAAGTGTAATTCTGTCCTTGAATGCCTTGAATCCTGGAATTGTTTTTGCCTCTTTGTGGATGTATGTCCGTTCAGGCATGCACTTCCACAATAATCCAGTTTCATCCACATTGAATATTTGCTCAGGCAAATAATTTCCTTCCACGATCACACGATCTAGCTCCTCCTTAAAAGCTTCGGCAGCACCAACATCAGCACTAGCTGCCTCTCCACTCACCTTAACATAATGTAAACTGTAGCGGTTCTTAAATCTGTTAAACCACCCATGACTTGCTGTGAAGGTTTGGTCGCACTCATCTCCTACCTGGTCCTTCAGGCTTTCGAACAGGCTTCTTGCCTTAGCCTGTATGGTTAGAAGGCTTAAGGGTACATGCTTCTGTATCTGGTCTTCCATCCATACCACCAATAATTTTCCATCTCATGAATAGGACCTTGTCTTTTCTTTGTAATTATAGTTCCCTTTACTGTATTGGTGCTGATCCTTTCACTACATCACGAATACGTTCCTTGTCCTTCAGAATAGTGGATATGGTCGAGTGCGAAAACCCTAGGTCGCGTGAAATTGTTGCTACAGTTTTTCCATTTTCATACTGCATTATTATCTTCATTTTCATCTCCTTTTCTTCTGAGCACCACCAGCACTCTCACTTGAATGCTTTCCAGTCATTATAAAGTCAATTAAATATGAAAATAATGTCAGTACACAGCGCGATCAGTTGTGGATACAAAGACAGCCAAACACCAACTGAGCGCTTGACTGCGTGGATGTTGTACACACGCGGTGACCAAAGCCACGCCACACTCTCGTACGGGATGGAAACGTTTCGGTATAGAAAAAGGATCGCATCATTTGAAAAAATTTTTGGTCCCGACTGCGTGGTCGTATGTGTGGATGGTCGTTATGGACTGAGCAGGTCGTAAGTGCGGGTGGACGTAGGTTGGGGAGGAGCTGTACAGATAATACATACAATAGGTAAATGTAATAAACATCATAAATGCTGGCATATGTCTCCATTGCAAATATTACATATTATTGATTGAGAAATGTGATAAATTACAATTATATTCAATCATTGATAGCAACAATATGTAGAAAATCAATTTGTAGCATGCAATGTCTCCAAGAGTACAGTATATGAAATACAAAGAAGATGCATGATGTCACAAGAGCGCAATGAATACTACACCAGGAGGGGCTAACAGCTGGAGGCTGTTCCTGTGATGGTGGACCATGGCCATGTTCAAGAGGTTCCTGTATAAATTGCAATTGCTCAAGAAGCAAAATTTAATGTTTTACTTATAGTTTTTTCACCATTCTTTGATTTTTTATTTATTTTATTTTTTTGCCTGTGCTGGCGTCTTCATTATAACAAGTGATATCTCCATTAGCCGGAACAATTGGTGCAGAGCACTTCCGAGAATGAGAGATTTCCGAGTAACGAGACAACTCTCTTAAAGCTGGAGAAAATTCCTCATCCCCGGAATTTTCCGGGTAACTGAAAAATTTTCTCGGAAGTTCCAGATTGATGCTTTATATCATCTCTCTAAGCTGGAAAAAGATTCCTCACCCCCAGAATTTTCCAGGTAATGGAAAAATGTTCCCAGGAGTTTTAAAAAATTGTGCATTGCATCATCTCTTGAACCTGGAAAAATATTCCCCATCCCAGGAATTTTCTGGGTACTGGAAATTTTTTCTCAGAATTTCAAGAAAATGTTCCTGATTTTCATCTCTCAAACCCAGAAAAAGGGTCCCCCATCCCCGAAATTTTCTGGGTACTGGGAAAGTTTTCCCGTAATTTTCCAGAAATGTGCCCCTCGGAAAATCGTTCCCAAAGCCTGAGAATTCCAGTTTTGGGAATGGTTTTCCGATAATTTCAATTCCGGCTATAGGAGAGTTCCAGGTTTGAGGGATTCCAGCTAACAGAGATATTACTGTATTACGGCAATGCAAGGATTAAAACCACGGGTTAGTGTTTGTCTGTTAAGTCCAATCAGTTATTATGAGTAAAGATATTAATTTGCAACACTAGAACCTGAGTTAATTTATTTAAAGATCCCATGCAAACGGTGCACTGCAGGTCAAAGTAAAGACCACCTCCTTAAGCAATCCAAAAGTATACCAGGCTCTTTCACGTATTACTTAACAAAATTTTCAACTCAATTTTGCATTCTTGGTAGGCTTAGCCTACATACCATGTTTATCTAATGGCCACCCACTACATAGTCTGTGTAGAATCCCTCCATTATTCCTGATTGCTTTGTTTAGGGTTATTTTGAAGCCCAGTACTGTTCTCGAGGTAATAGATCATTCACCCTCTGGGTGAAGGAAGATTTCCATATGTTTAGTCTGCATGATACCTTGGTGAGCTTGAAGTCATGTCCCTTCACGTTGGTTGTGTTTGACATAAAAAAAAATGGCCTGGGTTAAAGTTTTCCATTTCTTTCGAGATGTTGATTGTCTATGAGGTTTACTATGTCTTCTCTAAAGTTCTTAGTCCACACTCTACTTGGGTAACCGAGATGACTTAGTTCAGGGTCATCTTAGTCGCCCTGTGTTGCTTATTTTCTAAGGATGCTAGGTCTTTCAGGAGGTGGGTTTTATGCTTGTACAGTAAACCCTCACAGATCCGGGCCCGGTAAATCCGGATTTTGGAAGGGTGAAGGTAGCTTTAGTCTTAA